GCCGGCGACGAGCGGAGAAGTGGGAATAGTAGATTTAGCGGTGAGGTGATGACCGGAGGGAGGGCGACCTAGCGTGCGGAAGAGAGATTTTCTATAGTTTTAGCACTGCTATTCCGAAAACCCATCACCTATGAAATCTTGTGTACTTATCAATGCATTGCCAATAAATTTTCCTCCCGCTATTTCCCGTATAGATTTTCCGGAAGAAACTTGACCAAGCTAATAAATCATTTGCAACTTTAACATATTTATCACGCAACTAGGCACGGCAGAACAATGAAAAAACAAAATGATTGCGGCCTAGTCGTACAAAAGTAGCATATTTCTTACCAAAAAATGCTTTTACATTTGCATGCATGTGAGAAGTTTCTAAATAGACATTACTCTTCAGATGTATGTCCGGAAAGCGAGAAAGCCTACGTGAATGCCGTGGACATGAGTGTTCGGGAATGCCTGATCAACGTGGACGGTTCATGCCCATCCAATTATCTTTGTCGTTTCCATACTCAAAAAAATCGCTATTACTGTTGCACATCTATCAGTGGAGGTATCAAATTTTGTCAGTTATTCTTAAATTATATTCGAGTCCAACTCACTTCGTTCATATAGGGGTTGAAGAACTAAATGGTGGCCAAGCAGCACTAAAATGATAAAAAAGGAACGCCATCATGTGGTGGAGGGATTGGCTTGAACAAAGGCTGTACGGAATTATGTGGGTGAGAGTTATTCAAAACAGAGAAGAATGTAGAAGTTGTTAGCTACATTAGTGACAAGGCAAAATTTGGCTATAAAGCAGCAGGCCGTTAAGACATCACAATGCTCAAGAAGCCGGTGCGAAAAACGCTCCCTTATTTTAATTATCAACTATGGCGCAAATTCGTAATCGTGCATTATTTGATAATAATAACAATAATAACAGTAATAATAATAGCAATAATAGTAATGTTAGTAATGATAATCAGTTCTTAATTCGACTACTTTTCAGAAGTGTGTCCCCATGGTAAGGCGCAGTACAGGGAGCCATCCTCTAAACAACCAGTTCGTTGCACTATAAGCACTGGAAATACTCAGTGTCCACCAGGTTACAGCTGTCTGTCTGAAGTACAGGGAGCTTTACAGGTATTAATTTACTTCTTCAACAGATTCGCATAAACACGTTGTGTAAAAACTGAAAGTATCTTCCGAGTTAGGGGTGGTTTTCTTCTTTTACGGCAAGCTGATGCTGGTGTATCTCGACATTCCTGGAATCCTAGACCATCTTTAAGGGGTGAGCGCTGGAAAGTGGAATCATCGGAAAAATACTAAAAGGCGGTTGCTAATCCACGTGCTCGCTGATGCGTCCCTCATAAAACAGAAAAATAATCATACGAAATTTTTAAATACATAATTTGAAAAAGCCTTAAATGATTCTCTCGAAAGAATCGTTGTGCTCTTCGATTCTTTTAAAAAACAAAACAAATGTCAGAATTGCCTTGTATGGTTAGATCAAGCTACGAGCTGCAACTGATCTGTGTATTGAACGAAAGTACAACTCGAAAAAAAGTTGCTCGTTACAACCAAATCATTTGTTTTTTGAGATATACTTTCGCTCTTTAATGATCACCGCAGTCTGAGACATATCGATCTGTGAAGTGGAAAAAGCATGCT